TGTAAATGGAATAACATAACAACAAACATCAAAAGTGTACTAAAATATAAAGTATCAGTGATCTGTAAGAACCAGGTGACAAAGATCAAAACAGTGACTGATCCAGTTAAAAGTATTTTGTGGGAGTTACAGTTACATGTTCTGCATCACCTGTTGATTTGCCTTCAGATCAAGCCGAGATGTTCACAGAGGAAGGGGTCGGCCTCACAGAGGAACTCAATCATCTCTGAACTAGCAGCTTCACCTTTCTTCCTCACTGAGTCGATAACAAAACGAGCTTTGTCTCTTCTGTTCTGCATCTCGTCCGCTGACTCCCTCTCAGCTTCAGCTATCACCGTTTTCTCAAACAGTTTGTCCAGCAGACTTGTGAGAACCGGTCCTGATATCCCCTCGATGAAGCTGCTCCGTATGTCCAACAGCCTCTTATCTGAAGAGAGATTCAGAGCGCTCGGCCCACAGGACCTTTTTACTCCAGTGAGACAAACTCGTCTTTCCCAGACACTGTGGGAGCTGTTGGTGTCTCTCAGAAACAGCTTCACGTGTTTCCTCATTGTTTCTAAAATCACCTGGAATGACGGGAAGTAGTTGTCGTAGTTGTCGCAGTCAAACTCTGCTTCTGTTGGTTGAACTAGAACTGAGTCCTCTGCAGGACAAGTGGACAGTGTGTATTCCTGCTTTGGCTGCAGTTTACAGTGTGGGGACGTCTCTATGTAGCTCTCATCTCCAACTAATTTCTTCCTGGTGCGCAGCACATCCCGGAGCACCACGTTCCTCGGTAGCAGCAACACGTTGAGGAGGGATTCAGCGTCGGGATCAGCCGGGGGCCTGTAGAACAGCAGAACCAGCGCTCGGACCGGGTCAGCCGGCGAGTCTTCATCCTTGACATTACCGAAACCAGAAAACCCTGTGATGTTTATAACAACGTGAGTTTCTGTGATCTTCTGAGGGCCGATAAACTCGATGCCCTCGTCGTTCACATGAGCGACTGACAAGAACTCACCTCCACCTGTGGAGCGGATCTCACAGTGTGGGAGATGAAGCCGACACACAGACTGCTGCAGACATTTGATGTCAAACAGGGGTCCTGCAGGCTGCTTGTGGTGTCGGGCCAGTAGCCTCCTGTTCCAGGGGACGATCCTGTAAACCACGTCCCCTTCTCCCTCCATGTGGAACAGCAGGCCTGTCACACTGCACTGGTACAGGCCTGGGCAGGAGCACTGGAACCTGTAGGTTTCATCGTTTTCATCAACAGTGATATCAGGGGTGAACTCCTCACAGCTGGGTTTGAACAGCATGTCAGGTAAGCTCTTTGATCGGGTGAAGGTCTTGTTCTTTGCAGAGGTTGTTAGACTCAGTGAGGGAACGCTGTGAGAACGACGCAAACAGCTGGAGGAGGTTTGGAGGGGAGGATGAGTCGGCTGGGTGTTTGTGACTGAGCAGTTCACAGCTGGAACAGATGGCTCTGTTTCCACCAGGACATCACTGTCATCTCCCAACACGTCTCCCAACACGTCTCCCAACACATCTCCCAACACGTCTCCCAACACGTCTTCCTGGAGGACTGCATGCCTGTTTTGTGGACATACAGTAAGACTAGAGTTACTAAATCTGGGGCCACCATCTTCTGTGTATTTTCTCTTTCCAAGATAGTGTGATAGTAGTGATGGAAGAGCTTCTCCATACTGATGTTCTAATTCGCTGGTATTATCTTGATTGACTCCCGGCATAGCAGCTGCTGCAGAGGTGTGAAAAGCTTTAGACTCCTCATAGCTGTTTGTTAACATGTCAGATGACCTTTGAGCTTGTGTCCTGTGTGTTAGGGGGAGAGGAAGAGGAGGAGGAGGAAGCAGGGGTGTAGTAACTTTCCTAGATTCACGCCTGCTGTCATCATCATGAAGACTCCGGGAGCGAGAGGCAGAAGCTGAGGAATATTTACGAAGTGAACGGCGGCCACTTTTGCCTAGCAGCTGACGCCAAACACCCTTCTCTGAAAACTTTTCATCCGCAGTCTGTTTTTCTGAGGTGGAAGTTTGACTTCTTAGACGCCGTGTGAATCCCGATAGATCAATTCTGCCTACATTCAACTCTTCCTTCTCCGTCTGTTGTGCGTCACCTGTCTTCTTAAAACTACCTGTGTCATACTCATCACAGCTGGGTTTGAACAGCATGTCAGGTAAGCTCTGTGATTGGGTGAAGGTCTTTGCAGAGGTTGTTTGACTCAGTGAGGGAACACTGTGAGAAAGAGGCGAACAGCTGGAGCTTCTTTCACTCTGAACAGGATCTGAGGAGGATGAGGTTTGGGGGTCAGGATGGGTCGGCTGGGTGTTTGTGACTGAGCAGTTCACAGCTGGAACAGATGACTGACAGACTGAAGGCCTGTTTTGTGGACATACAGTAAAACTAGAGTTACTAAATCTGGGGCCACCATCTTCTGTGTATTTTCTCTTTCCAAGATAGTGTGATAGTAGTGATGGAAGAGCTTCTCCATACTGATGTTCTAATTCGCTGGTATTATCTTGATTGACTCCCGGCATAGCAGCTGCTGCAGAGGTGTGAAAAGCTTTAGACTCCTCATAGCTGTTTGTTAACATGTCAGATGACCTTTGAGCTTGTGTCCTGTGTGTTAGGGGGAGAGGAAGAGGAGGAGGAGGAAGCAGGGGTGTAGTAACTTTCCTAGATTCACGCCTGCTGTCATCATCATGAAGACTCCGGGAGCGAGAGGCAGAAGCTGAGGAATATTTACGAAGTGAACGGCAGCCACGTTTGACTTGCAGCTGACGCCAAACACCCTTCTCTGAAAACTTTTCATCCGCAGTCTGTTTTTCTGAGGTGGAAGTTTGACTTCTTAGACGCCGTGTGAATCCCGATAGATCAATTCTGCCTACATTCAACTCTTCCTTCTCCGTCTGTTGTGCGTCACCTGTCTTCTTAAAACTACCTGTGTCATACTCATCACAGCTGGGTTTGAACAGCATGTCAGGTAAGCTCTGTGATTGGGTGAAGGTCTTTGCAGAGGTTGTTTGACTCAGTGAGGGAACACTGTGAGAAAGAGGCGAACAGCTGGAGCTTCTTTCACTCTGAACAGGATCTGAGGAGGATGAGGTTTGGGGGTCAGGATGGGTCGGCTGGGTGTTTGTGACTGAGCAGTTCACAGCTGGAACAGATGACTGACAGACTGAAGGCCTGTTTTGTGGACATACAGTAAAACTAGAGTTACTAAATCTGGGGCCACCATCTTCTGTGTATTTTCTCTTTCCAAGATGGTGTGATAGTAGTGATGGAAGAGCTTCTCCATACTGATGTTCTAATTCGCTGGTATTATCTTGATTGACTCCCGGCATAGCAGCTGCTGCAGAGGTGTGAAAAGCTTTAGACTCCTCATAGCTGTTTGTTAACATGTCAGATGACCTTTGAGCTTGAGTCCTGTGTGTTAGGGGGAGAGGAAGAGGAGGAGGAGGAAGCAGGGGTATAGTAACTTTCCTAGATTCACGCCTGCTGTCATCATCATGAAGACTCCGGAAGCAAGAGGCAGAAGCTGAGGAGGATGCCATTTCCTCCAGAACAACACTGTCATCTCCCAACTTGTTTTTCTTGATGACTGAAGGTCTGTTTTGTGGACGTACAGTAAAACTGGAGTTACTAAATCTGGGGCCACTATCATCTGTGTCTTTATTGTTTGGAAGCTGCAAAATCTGTTCTGATGCTTGGGATGCAAGACGAAGAAAATGAGCATCTCCATACTCATTTTCCAATTCGCTGTAAATTGCTATAGGTGTATGTATAAATGTGAAAGAATCTGTGCTACCAGACGACTCATCACATTGTTGTTTTCTACCATAAAATACAACTCTGTCTGTGTCTGAATCTTCATCATCGTTGTTAGAGAGCTGAAGGCTGGAAGGACCAGCGGTTGCATGTGGTATTATTTCCCTGGTATTATCCTGACTGACTCCCGGCATAGAATCTGCTGCAGAGGAGTTTTTTATCAGTCCTGTTTCTGGGAGTGTAACAACAGGGATATCACGTAATAACTTCCCAGGCAATTCTAACATCGCACAGCTACCCCCAGATAAACTTTCAGCTCCTGTAAAAGTCTCGTTCTCTGTAGAGCTCATTAGACTTAGTGGGGGCGGGAAATGAGAAGAGCACCCGGTAAGCAAAGCTGTAATTTCATGTGACCCTATTCCTTGTCCACAGGGTTCTTCTTCAGGCTCACTATCTGGCTGCATCGGCACAACACCTGTAGCTCTCTTACGAACCTCACTGGTGTTTTCAGCACATCGAGGGCCAGCAAGAGAAAGATCTAAGGGCTCGCTTTGTGGCTCTGTGGTCCATGACTTTGTACATGCTGCAGCAGCAATACAATAAAGGGGGGCATCAGTCTCTTTACAAGAATTCTCTGAAGCACAACCTTCTTCCTTTTCCTCCTGTGGTGAGTCACCTGTCATTTCACAACTTCCTGCATCAGAACCAGCAGAGAAGGGAGATGGAGCTTTTCTCTTTCTTTGTTCCATCTTGTATTTGACCTGGCCCACGACCCTGAAATAAAGCAGAGAATGGAAATTCAAATCCTTTTAAAGTATAGTGCTGTATTAAAACTCATAACATAACTGTAAGATGTGTGTGTGTCATTATTTTGGTACTACACTGCTCAAATTATTTAAGGCAACACTTAAATTACACATCTAATCTCAATGAACAAAATAGTTGTAAGTTCAAAATCTTTTTTGTACATTGTATAATGTTTGGACATTGTCTGGCACCAGGAGGAACCCAGGGCAAAGTCCACCAGTGTAAGGTCCGACAACGGCTCTGAGGATTTTCATCCCGGTACCTAACAGCAGTTTTCATCCCGGTACTGACCCCTGTGCGAAGGATTTGTCTCCCCAGACCATCACTGACCCTCAGCCAAAGCAGTCATGCTGAATGATGTTCACCATTCTGGGGTGGCAATGGTGCAGTGGATAAGACACATGCCTTTAGTGTGGGAGACTATAGTTTGATTCCTGAGCAAGACACTTAGCCCCTAGTTGCTCCAGAGAGACACCTCTGACTTTCAAGCTTACATAATAAAAATCTATTCAGATTTGAACCAGTGAAGTTTCAGCAGGGAATCTGCCTCAGCCCGTTTGGACACAAGTTTATACAGACCTTCGAGACTGAGAAATATCTTCTTCCCAGAGCCAGAACTGCTCTAAATAAGCCCTATTATCCTCCATAAACTGAGTGAAACCTTCACATGCACGCACATACAGGTTACAAACAAGCTATAGAGGTAAAGAGGGCCATTTCGCCTTCATGCTGTTACCATCTGGACTTTAAGTCCAATATCTGCATCTATGACAGTAATTTATAACCGCAACTACATTTTCTAATTGACCATCATGTCCTTCCTGGAAAATATGTACTAAATGGTGGTAAAAATATATTACCATGGATGGAAAAAATTATGTCCTCAACAACAATAACAAATATGGTACTCCGATGGCGCGCGCGGGGGGGGGGGGGGGGGGGTTACCCGTACTTTCCCACTTAGCCCAATCTCTCTTTTGTTATCAGTCAGTCAGGGTTATAGTTCTGCTTTCTGCACGCATGTTGTCAAAGTAGCCTACAATAAAACTGGGCAATCTGTTTTCATTATGTCCAAAGTCTCCGACCAAATCCAATCTTCCTTCCTCACATAACTCCGAGTATGACACGTTCACGGAGCTCGTCGAAGCTGCACTGCTTCTACGGAGTCAGCATAAATATGCAGTTATAGGCAATATAACACTTTGCAGCCACTTTTTTTCCAAAAGAAGAAGGGGTTTTTGATTCCTTGATTTCCAAAGGCAGTCGTGTGAGTGTCTGGGCATTGAGTTGTGTATGGTTTAGTGTGCGTCAGCGTTATCCGCTTACCAAGGACAGTAGCTTATGTCTGAGCCTCTCTGGGTCGCTGTGTTGTCTTTGTGTTTTAGGCTCAGCCGTATCCCTCGTGGATTTGAACTTAGTCGGAGGACGCAGGCGGACTTCTGCGCGAATATATTCCCATCACTGTTGTTTGATTGGACTCTTAAATGCCACATATCACAGCCAACTACGGGCTTTGGTGTGAACGGGCTGGAATTTAGGGGGTTAATAGTGCCACTTCTTGCATAGTCGACTTCCCCTTTGAGTTTTACAGGCATTCAAGCTATTTAACTATGGGCCATCCCATTTGGGCTGAAATAACTACTGGCAGATGGTGATGAATAAGAACTCCCCTAAGCCAGTTCCTAGGAAACATTTTCCAAAGAAACATGACATGCACCACCCACATCAATAACAAAAAATAAGGCAATCAAAGGCTCAATCACCTAAAAGTACTCAGAGAACACAAGTCACCATGTCAGGGTTTTCAGTCATCTGTCACCTCAGTCTTTAAATATGCAGCATCAGATTGGACTAATAAAAAATTGGAAAATAATGGCATACAGACTCCCTCAATACAAACACCATCATCACAGAGAAATGCATCCAGAGAACCCAGCAATGAAACAGTTAATCCATAAAGCACAGTGGGCCACCGAGACACCCCCTCTACACCATCCTCCAAAACATGCACAGACAGCATCCACATGATTTCACTTTAAGGAAATTATATTTTTAATTTTGAAAAAAATAACACTATTTTTATTCATTACCTCTTTTTAAAAAACAAAGCCATTTACCCATGCTCCCTCCAGCCTCCCAAGTGCCCAACCCCCGTCTCCTTCACAAAGAGTTTTACACTAAAAATTTCGATCTCTTTTAAATTGGATTAGTTTTTATGTAAAGAAAAGGGCAGAAGCTTCCAAGCCCTGGAACAAATGTCATGCTTGCTGGGGTTTTATATAGCACGTCCCTTACTAAGAGTTTAAAAAGTCAGACCTGCATTTTATAAGATGAACTCACGGAAAATGATAACCAATTAGTGTAGGGATGTGATATTAGCATTACAACCATAAATACACTGCAAGAAAAGATACAACATATCTACTCAATAAAAATGAGGCAACAGATTACAAACAATATTATTAATTAAATTTCACAATGTTTGTTTTGAGTAAATTTGAATTAAATGAGACCCTTAATAGTTATCCATTTAATATGAGTAGATTCAAATAGAAAACAGTACATAATTAATTATAACCTAAACAAAAATATTGAGTTGTGTAAATAGTAGGAAATGGGACGCTTGATTCTGACGTGTCGACGCTGTGTCGAGATCCCGACGTTTTGAAACACTGCTCCAAAGCGTGGTTCAAAACGTCAATGTCACGTGACAGTGGTGAAGCGAGGCTTCGGAGCGTTTCACCCCTGTTTCGACAGGTGGCGCACCTGCCGCCTCACAATGATTCACAATGTTTGAAACTCCCAGAATGCTTAAAAGTCAAGCAAACACATCCCAACTTCATGGGTTTTTGTGAGAGGAGAAAGATTGAGAGATAGCGACATACACAGTGATTGACAGTGCGATTTCAGAGATAGTTCAGCAGATATTAGTATGATTAATAATAATTGATAGGCTATTGAGAGACAGATAGAGTAACATATTAATAGTGATAGCTAGGATAATTTAGTGACATGTAGTGAGATGGTGATAGAGACAGATAGCTAGCACTAGATAGGTGTGTAGACAGAAAAGTGTATATTACACATAAGAGATCCCGTTCTCTGGTGTGGGAACATTTCCATTTGGAAATCCCAAATAAAGTGAGGTGTATGATTTGTGATATGCACCTTGCCCACTGCGGGCGGCACGGTGGTGCAGTGGGCAAGGTCACAGCAAGAAGGTCGTGGATTCAAACCCCAGTTGCCCCGGCCTTTCTGTGCGGAATTTGCAGGATGTCCGCGTGGGTTCTCTCCGGTGCTTCCTCCCACCATCCAAAGACATGCAGGCTAGATTAATTGGTGACCCTAAAATTGTCCTTAGGTGTGAGTGGTTGTCTGTCTATGTGTGGCCCTGCGATGGACTGGCGACCTGTCCAGGGTGTACCCCGCCTTTCGCCCGATGCCAGCTGGGAAAGGCTCCAGCCCCCCGCGACCCTGTACACAGGATAAGCAGTTGACGATGGATGGATGGACCTTGCATACTGAAACCATACATCCTCCATGATACGCCATTTGAGGTGTATTCATCCTACCATTTTAGAGGGTGCAGAGGGTGGCAACATTCCCCCTGTACACAGGCCTGCTGCTGCTGGGCCATCTAAACAATGTATGCATTGTTTGAAAGATAATTCAGATGTGTTAAAATCTCACTGACAAATGCCTCAGTTTTAAAAATGTTGACCTGGTAATGCTTCTACAATATAATGTCCAAATCACAACAACAACAAGATTTTAAATATTTGAATAATACAATAGGCTACAACTGGTGGCTAAACGGGACTTGTATTGAATCAAAATGTTTTAAAGGCTACCTGTTCATCTAAGCAACAAACAGTAACGGCCCGATAGTTGTTAGTGTTTTATGTAATACATATTATAGAATTTGGATGGGAAGTCGCTCTTTTGTGATCTTTACGACGATAAAGTCGTTTCGTAATGCAATTATAATATGTGTTTACTTGTTTAAAGTAATTCTGAGTAAAAGTGTGACTTAAAGCTGTGTTTACATTGCTCTTGTTAAATTTATGAAGAAGAGAAAGGTTTTATTGCTAGTCACATGACTGTTACCTGGAAGTATTGAGAGTAGCGCCAGAGAGAAAAGAGAGTGGCGGGTGAGGACAGCGAACTTTTAAGCTCCCATCTGTTATTCTACAGCTGGTCTACAAGGCGAACACGGTACTAATTATTGAGTTAATTATTAAGCACTGTTTAATGTTGTTTACAGGAAAATGTGAGACTCATTGTATCGGTCTGTATAAGAAATAAGAGACAGAGTATATAAACGTTGTTTTGGGGTGCCTTGTGCTTGAAACGGTTTTGTTTATCTTCTAGTTTTCACGGTGTTCCATGATACTTCAGAGAAGAATAAATGTGAACGTGGACATCAGTAAGAAGCGTGGACTCTTTTTATGACCAGTGTAGCTAAATATTTGGCCTAATAATCTAAAGCACTAGGCACTATTTCAAGCTAGATTTGCTCAGTTTCAATAGTTTTATCAAACAGTAGGTTTATGTTCTTTTTAAAGACAGACAGAGAGAGCTGGATGAGGCTTTGGTGAATTTGGTGGTGAAGGATCTATAGCCCTTCACTATTGTTGGAGGATGAAGGCTTCTGGGCCTTCGTCAGAAAGATGGACCCCAACTACATCCTCCCCTCTAGGAAGGCACTGAAGGAAATGGTCTGTGAGAAGCTCAACACTGCCAAGGAGCAAGCCAAGCCTGACCTACAGAAGGCTGATATGTGGTCATCCATTCATATGGATGGGTACCTTGGAGTTACTTGCCATTACATAACCCAAGAAGCAAAGATGAAGTCACCAAGTTCCACCAGTCCCACACAGCCCAGCATATAATGGAGGCGAAAAGTGTGCTCATGTCTAAGTGGGGAATGGCATCAAAGGTTCAATGCCTTGTGACCGATAATGCAGTAAACATGGTCTTAAGTGCCCAGCTCCTGAACCTACGCCATGTTCCATGTTTTGCCCACACCCTAAATCTTATTGTGAAGCGGGCCATTGATTAAACACCAGTACTTCATGAAATCCGCAACAGGCCAAGGAAAGTAGTTGGATTATTCCAATCCAGCTGCAAAGCCAAAGACAAACTTGTGGAGATGCAGGGATTGATGGGCAGACCAGCACTGAAAGTCACACAAGACGTGGACACTAGGTGGAACAGCACATTTGACATGCTGCAACACCTATGTTGGAGCTATATTCTTATTTTTGTTTATTTTGGGTTTGAGTTAATTTATAGCCCAATTTATTTCTTTTCTTGTTAAAGTTAATTTGGTTTATTTTGTATTTATGCTTTACTTGCATTGTCGTTTGTTGGTCACATGGTGTTATGTTCATTTGCATAAGTAGGTCAAGGTGAGAGGTGCCGCAGGCACGAGGGCATATGGTTTTTACCAGCGTGAGAGAGGCAGCAGAAATGTCTGTAAGCTTGCTTATGTGTGTGAATAAACCTCCTCAAACTCAGTCTTGTTATGGACATTACCTTGCTTTGGTACCTCTGAACCTGCGTAAAGCCTAACCATGACGTAGCCTCAAGTGGCCATTTGAGAAGTTTGTTATTATTTGTTTTTGTTTAAGTTTATGGACAAATAGCCACTACATTAAGTAAAAAACCTGCCCTGGATATATTGTTGGTTTGCGTGGATACTGGACTTGTCGTTTGCTGAATTGCCGTTTCGAAAGTGGATTACTCACCTGGATGTGGGAGACAAACAAAGGAAGGGCCTAGGAGTGACGGAGCCAGGGGGCTGGATGCAGTGCAAACATCGAATAATACGACCCATCCGACAGTGTAAAATTTCCCTGGACACCGTACTGGATAACGGTGAAGCTACTGGAGCGCTGGAGCTGCACTACGGAGTGGAGGGTATTATTTGCTGCAATTTGAATTCGCAAAGGCCCAAAGCCTTCACAGGTGATGCGCACAGCCGCGTGCAACAACAGCTACTGCGTTCATTCAATTCCGTGCACAAAGGCAACCACCGCAACAAATGAAGTTCCACAAGGTATGTGCTTTACACACTCTTTGCAAGCAACTGTGTGTACATGACCAACATCAACAAAGGGTAAAATGTCTGACGTTGCATCTAAAGCCACAAGCGACACGGCGCTTCCTACAAGAAGACGCGCAAGTTTTACTGCTAAAGGAATTATGTTTTTTATGCAAACGTGTCAGGAAAAGAGATCGGTGCAATGCAGACGAGCCAAATCGTACATGAATCAGATGGATAAGTTGATGCATTCTGCAGACAATATTGATGCAGTCAAGTCTCTTTTGGATCAAATAATATGTGTTGATGAGGCAAAACAACATCATTTGTCATTTGTGTCACTGGACATACCTCAGGACGAGAAGGAGAAACAAGATAAATATTTTGAACAAAAGGAAAAGTGTTTTCAAGCTTTATTGATGACGTCAAAGGTTGGTTATCAAACACAGGCCATTCATATGAACTTCCAATTAAACCACCTGATAATCCAACTGATATTGGGCCTGAGGACAGTGTATCCAATAAAGGTTCTGAAACGCGTTCAAAGGCTGGTTCTAAACTGTCAAAGACTTCATCCAGTGCATCTGCAAAAATATTAGTGCAAGCAGAAAGAGCAGCGTTAAAGGAACGCATGGCTGCTCTAAAACAAAGGCATATTTTGGAGGATCAGGAGGAACAAATACGACTTGAACAAGAGGACGGAACGGGAACATTTAAGGAGAGAAAAGGAACAACTTGCTCTGGAGGCAGAATTAAAGGTGACAAATGCGAAATTGGAGGTTCTGGAAGTAAGCTCAAAGTGTGGCTCTAAAGTGTCAAGATGTGCATCTCAAACATCAGATGGCATGAATTCTTACTTGAAAAGGTCAGAAACTCAAAGGACATATGAACTAAATCCGAATGCTGAACGCTATGTGCCCACCAATAAAAGCTCTGAACCTACCTCCAGTCGCTTGTTAAATTCTGTCCCTGTTGGTGTTCAACCCAAACATGTTGTAAAACAACTACCCATACCTAATGTCATTCCTGTGTTTCAAAGGCAAGATACACAATCACCGGGTTTGCAAGATGTTTGTGACGATAATCCATCCATCAATTCTCTGGACATTTTGAACATCATGCAGCGTCAAAATGAAATAACCGCGCTGTTGGTCCAACAAAACACAGCCTCTGCTCTGCCTATGAGAAATATACCTGTATTTGATGGAGATCCCCTGTATTTCAAATCTTTTCTCAGAGCCTTTGAAAATTGCATTGAGGATAAAACTCAAAATTTCAGTGATTGTCTGTACTTCCTAGAACAGTACACTAGAGGGCAACCAAGAGACATTGTGAGAAGTTGTCAGCATATGCCCTCTGAACCAGGTTATCAAAGAGCAAAAACGCTTTTGATTGAACATTTTGGCAGTGAACATAAAATATCTTCGGCTTACATGGACAAAATCAACAACTGGCCCTCAATAAAACCTGAGGATGTTAATGCTTTGCAGTCATTTGCTTTGTTCCTTCGAGGTTGCTCCAATATAGTACATCATATAAAGTATATGAAGGAGTTGGACATGCCAGCTAACCTCAGGACGATCTTAATGAAACTCCCATACAAGCTGAGGGAAAAGTGGAGAAATGTGGCATACTGGAACAAACTGGAAGCGGAGCAGTGTTTGTTGATTTTGTGAATTTCATTGAAAAACAAGTCAAAATTGTTTCAGATCCTCTGTTTGGAAATATTAATGATGTTTCTCCAGCCAGCTATACAAAGCTATCCATGCAAGTTAAGCAGAAAGGGAAAAGTGGTACATTTGCCACCAGCATTAATGCACCAAAGGATGGACATAAAGAAATGGAAAACATGACAGCTCACAGTAACCAGCTCAAATGTATATTCTGCTATCTTACCAATCACACTCTGGAAAAATGCTTTCAGTTTAGAAGAAAGACACAACAGGACAAGATTCAGTTTCTAAAGGAGAAGGGCGTTTGTTTTGGGTGCTTGAAACATGGACACACAAGCAAAGACTGCAGGAGTCGTTTGGATTGTGAAGTGTGTCACAGGAAGCACCCATCTGTCCTGCATGTGGAGAAGGAGGATACTACAAGGATAACCTCCAAAGAAACTGTGAGCACTGTATCCGGGAAGCAGCAGACGTGTGGTCATATTGGGGCTGGTGAAGAGGATACTGCTGTTTTTTCCATTGTGGCTGTGCAGGTGAAAAGTCAGAAAAGTAATAAAGTTGTGCATACTTATGCTTTCCTGGATCCTGGGAGCTCTGGTACCTTCTGTACTACAAGTATGGCTGAAAGGCTGGGAGTATCAGGAAAAAACTGTAATGTAGTGTTAAGGACAATGGGGCAGACTAAAACCATCAACACTACTGTAGTAACCGGTCTGGAGGTGTCTGGATTTGACACCGATGACTTTATTGAGCTGCCATCTGTTCTGACACAAACAAAAATGCCTGTCTCTAAAGTCAATGTGCCATGTCAGGATGATGTTGCCAAATGGGCGTATTTGAGCAGCATTAGGCTACATGAAGTAGATGCAGATGTAGACTTGCTCATTGGAACCGACTCTCCTAAAGTTTTGGAGCCATGGGAACTGATAAACAGTCAATGTGGTGGACCGTATGCAGTGAGGACCAGAGTTGGCTGGGTCATAAATGGGCCTCTTCGTGCTGGAGACTCTGAAGGTACTGGTGTCAAATCAGGATGCATTGTTGTAACTGCTAATCACATATCTGTGGAACACTTGGAAAGTATGTTGATACAACAGTATAATCATGACTTTACTGAAAGAACAAGTGATGAACAACTTGAGATGTCAAGAGAAGACATTAAATTCATGAAAATTGTGGAGAGTACGACAGTGCTTAACAATGAACATTATCACATTGACTTACCTTTCAGAGTTGATGATCCTGTTTTGCCAAATAATCGCTGCATTGCACTACAAAGACTCCAAGGCCTGAAGAGGAGATTTAATAGAGACATTTCATTCAAGGCTCAATACGTTGATTTCTTAACAACATGTTGGAGCAAGGATATGCAGAAAAGGTTCCCACAAATGAGCCCACTCTGGAACAAGGAAAGGTGTGGTACATTCCCCACCATGGTGTACGTCATCCAACCAAAGGAAAGTTGCGTGTTGTGTTTGATTGCGGCTGTACTTACAAAGGTATATCATTGAACAGTCAGCTCCTGCAGGGCCCAGACTTCACTAACACGCTAATTGGTGTCCTCCTTCGGTTTAGAGAAGAGCCCATCGCTGTTATGGCTGATATCAACGCCATGTTCCATCAGGTCTGGGTTCCATATAAGCACGTTAACTTCTTGCGCTTTCTATGGTGGCCCAATGGAGACGCTACAGCGGAGCCAGAGGAATACAGGATGTGCGTGCATTTGTTTGGAGCTGTATCCTCTCCAAGCTGCTCAAACTATGCACTGAGGAGAACTGCTGAGGATAATGCACTGCAATATTCACCCGATGTCCTTCGTACAGTTAAGACAAATTTCTACGTGGATGATTGTCTTAAGTCCACTGTGACAGAGGAAGATGCAGTGAAGCTCATACATGGATTAACATCTCTCTGTAAAAAAGGCGGCTTTCATCTCCAAAAGTGGGTCACAAATAACTCAAATGTGTTTGCACTTATTCCTAGCGAGATCAGAGCAGTGGGTTTGGAGAACATGGATTTGGACAGGGACCAACTCCCTGTGGAAAGAGCTCTGGGGATGCAATGGTGTGTTCAAGGAGATACGTTCAGCTTCAGGACTGCAGTGCAGGAACGTCCACACACTAGGAGGGGATCCTTTCTGTGGTGAGCTCTCTTTACGACCCGCTGGGTTTTCTGTCTCCTTTCATAATCCCTGCCAAGTTACTGTTACAGGAGTTGTGCAGAATGAACTTCAAATGGGATGAGCCAGTTCCCCGTGATGTCTCCGAACATGGTCTGAGTGGCTCTCTGAACTTCAGCATGAGTGGATTTAAAGTGGAACGGTGCATTAAACCCAAAAACTTTGGAACACAAGTGAAAGCAGAACTGCATCATTTTTCAGATGCTAGTCAAACAGGATATGGCACGGTTTCATACTTGAGATTGGAGAGCACTGACAACGTGCATGTTTCATTTATCACAGGCAAGGCTCGTGTCGCTCCTCTAAAGCAACTAACCATTCCACGCCTTGAGCTTGCTGCAGCTGTGCTTGCTGTTCGAGTGAACACAATGCTGTTGAAAGAGCTACAGTTGCCATTGCAAAGGTCAGTTTTTTGGACCGATAGCACTACTGTTCTCAAGTACATCTTCAATGAAACAAAGCGCTTTCACACATATGTTGCCAATCGTGTCAGTACCATAAGAGAATCCACAGACAAAGATCAGTGGAGGTATGTAAACACCAAAGACAATCCTGCAGATGAAGCTTCTCGAGGACTAAGAGCTCAAGTTTGGGAAAGGAAAATGGCTAAAAGGACCGGACTTTTTGCACTTGCCCCCCACCAGGTGGCCGAAACTCGACTTGGACTCCTCTTCCATTCCATCTGATGATGCAGAGGTGAAAAGGGAACTTAAGGTGAATGTTGTTACAATACACAGTGACAATCCTCTCAGTCAGCTCGTTCACTATTTTTCATCCTGGAGAAAGCTTAAAACATCAGTGGCCTGGCTGTTGGAGCTGAAAGAAAGACTTTTACTTTTGAGCCGAAAGAGAAAAGAATATGTGGTCAACCAGAATGAGAATGTGGAAAAGGAGATTAAAAAATTCAAAGCCGCACTTGGAAAATCCAGCTTGACACCAGAGCGCTTGGAGGAAGCTGAAAAGGCAATAATTCAGTTTGCACAAAACCAAAGATTCAGTACTGAAATTTCCTCACTAGAACATGACCCAAAGACTGTTTTTAAAGACAGTCCTCTGTATCGCCTCGACCCCTTCATCGAAGATGGCATCCTCAGAGTTGGTGGACGTCTGTTTAAATCTGCACTGCCGTGGGAGGTAAAGCATCCTGTGATTCTGTCAAAGGATTTGCATGTTTCCCAGCTCATATTGCGTTACATCCATTGCCAACTTGGACATGCTGGACGCAATCACATGCTGCACAGATTGAGACAGAAGTATTGGATCATAAATGCCAACTCTGCGGCCAGGAAGATTCTCTCACAATGTACAGTGTGCAGAAGGTACAGAGGAAAGCTTGGAGAACAGAAGATGTCCGACTTACCGGAGGAAAGAGTTGTGCCTGATAACGCACCCTTTACAAATGCGGGGTGGACTATTTTGGACCATTGGAGGTGAGGAGAGGTAGAACTGTGCTGAAGCGATATGGAGTGATATTTACCTGTATGAGTAGCCGCGCAGTACACCTTGAGGTGGCGCATTCCCTCGACACGGACTCCTGCATCAATGCTGTGCGAAGATTTATCTGCAGAAGAGGACCTGTGACAAGTGTAAGGTCAGATAACGGCACAAATTTTGTTGGTGCGAAGAAGGAACTGAGGCAAGCATTGGCCGCTTTAAATCACTCTAAAATTGAAAGGACTTTTGTGCAGGAAGGAATGAGATGGAGTTTTAACACCCCAGCTGCATCTCACCAAGGTGGCGTTTGGGAGCGTCTGATTCGCTCTGTGCGCAGTGTACTTACCTCTGTTGTTGGACATCAACTGCTGGACAGGAAGGTCTGCAAACGCTGTTTTGCGAGGTGGAAGCGATACTCAATGACCGGCCAATAACTAAGGCTTCAGAAGATCCCAATGATTTAGAAGCGCTTACTCCAAATCACATTCTCCTGTTAAAAGGCAAGCCCATTCTGCCATTAGGTCTGTTCGAGAAATCTGATCTGTACATTAAGAGGAGATGGAGGCAAGTGCAGTACGTTGCGGAACTTTTCTGGAAAAGGTGGACAGCAGAGTATTTGCTTGTAATGCAAGAAAGGCAAAAATGGACGAAGCAAAAGAGAAACTTTATTCCAGGAGATATTGTCGTAATCGCTGATGCCACAGCTCCAAGAGGCTCATGGATGATGGGCAGAGTTCTAAGCACCACAGCTGACTCTAGAGGACTGGTTCGCTCTGTGAAGGTCCAAACGAAGATCAGCATCCTGGACAGACCAATAACCAAGCTCTGTCTTCTCTTGGAGGCTAATAATTGACTATACGACTCATTCTTTCTCCTATCTCTGTCTTCCATCTGTTTGTTTCTTTCAGATATGGAGAATCTGAAGATGTGAAGATTCCAGTTTAATGTTTAAGCTACAATTAGAAAATAGCTCCTTGTGTTAAAGCTAAGGTTAATTGTGGGTAAAGTACCGTTACAATTAGGGGCTGGGTTTGGAGCTATATTCTTATTTTTGTTTATTTTGGGTTTGAGTTAATTTATAGCCCAATTTATTTCTTTTCTTTTTTGTTAATTTGGTTTATTTTGTATTTGCTTTACTTGCATTGTCGTTTGTTGGTCACATGGTGTTATGTTCATTTGCATAAGTAGGTCAAGGTGAGAGGTGCCGCAGGCACGAGGGCATATGGTTTTTTACCAGCGTGAGAGAGGCAGCAGAAATGTCTGTAAGCTTGCTTATGTGTGTGAATAAACCTCCTCAAACTCAGTCTTGTTATGGACATTAC